AGGCAGGCAGATCACAAGGTAAGGAGATGGAAACCAGCCTGACCAACATGATAAAACCCCATCTCTACTAAAAATACAAAAATTAGCTGGGCGTATTGGCCATTGCGTGTAATCCCAGCTACTCGGGAGGCTGAGACAGGAGAATCACTCGAATTGGGGAGGCAGAGGTTGCAGTGATCCAAGATCACGCCACCGCACTCTAGCCTGGACAACAGAGTAAGACTCTGTCTTAAAAAAAAGAAAGGAAAGAGGCAAACAGCCAGGCACAATGCCTCACACATGTAATCCCAATACTTAGGAGAGGCCAAGGTCAAACAGATAACTTAAGCCCAGGAGTTTAAGATCAGCCTACACAACATGGTCTCTGCAAAAAATTTAAAAATTAACTGGGCATGATGGCGTGAGCCTGTATTCCCAGGTACTCAGAAGGCTGAGATGGGAATTTACTTGAGCCCAGGAGGCAGAGGTTGCAGTGAGCTGGACGACATAGTGAGAGTCTGTTTTAAAAAAAAAAAAAAAAAAAAAAATTAACTATCTCTCATTTCTAGTTTCACATGTGAGGATTTTGGAAATTACCACCCTGGTTTAAAAAAAAAAAAAAAAAAAGGGCAAACATTGTGAATTGATATTTCTCCAAGTAGATGTACAAATGACCAACAAGGACATGAAAGCATGCTGAGCATCATTAGTCATTAGGGAAATGCAAATCAAAATTACAGTAAGATATCACTTCTCACCTATTAGGATGGCTATAATCAAAACAATGGAAATAACAGGTGTTAACAGGGATGTAGAAAAAATGACACCAGCATACACTAGGGTGGGAATATAAAATAGTGCAGCCACCATCATTAACAGTTTGGCTTTCCCCAATAAGTTAAACATAGAATTACCATATGACCCAGCAGTTGCACTCTCAGGTACACACCCAACATAAGTGAAAACAGATATCCATACAAAACTTGTGCAAGCATGTTCATTTTAGCACAATTCACAGTAACCAAAAAGTGAAAATAACCCAAACGTCCATCAAGTGATTAATAGTTAAAACAAATGTGATACATTCATACAATGGGAATATTATCCAACCATGAAAAGGAATGAAGTACTGATACATGCTACACCACAGGTGAACACTAAGTGAAAGAAGCCAGGCACAAAAGGCAGATGTATTATTTCCATTCCTATGAAATATCCAGAGGCATATGGGTATTTGCCCAGCTACAGAATGGCAATCTATAGAGCCGAAAAGCAGGTTGTGGGCTGCAGGAGTGGGGAGGAATATGAAATACCTGCTTCGTGGGTACAGGGTTTCCTTTTGGGGTTATGAAAGTCTCTTGGAACTAGGGAGAATGTTGATTGTATGACATTGTGAATACTCAATATATCCCTGAATTGGATACATTAGAATGGTTTAAAAGGTCAATTTTATGTGCACTTTACCACAACAAAAGCATGCATAAACACACGCATCCTCACACAGAGGGGAGGGGCTGAGACCTGAAAAGCATGGCATGTGCCACCACCTGAATACGGCTCCCAGAGAGGAGTTACCACACACTGGCTGGTGGTGAGCACAGATAACTACAGGAGTACGGGCTGTTGCCGGCTGTGTAAAGGAGGCCCTGAGCCTTCCTGTGTGAGCGCAAGGTCAACAGCCACAGTCACAGCTCAGGCTTCTTTTCCTGTCCTGCCCCAGGAGCACATCCTGCAGGGCTCTGTTTCCTGCCTGGCTCAGAATCTAGTTGTCAAACCACCTTTCCTCTGAAGGAATCAACCATGATGTTTCCCCAGTTCCATTTTTCACTTTTATATTACTGGGTAGGTAGTTACCACATCCCATAATAGCACTTTATTCTGGCCCTGTCCAGTACTGTTCTTACAAATGCTGAAGCAAAAGACTTGAATAGACATTTGTGCAATATTGAATAGCTGTTTGAACATTTCAGCAATGTTGAGTTGGAGGCATGTTTTATGTATTCCTCTGTCCATTTTAGGAGAGCCTTTTCTTCTTCCTCCATACCCATTATTATTTCATATCAGTGCCAGACAGATTGGATGAGCAAGCAAATAAACCCTCTTTCCAACCTTCGCAAAAAGACGGTATCCTTGATTCTTTACAGCCTCTTCTCTCTCATGCTGCAGCGTGAGCAGCTTCCCAGGGAAAGTCAGCCAACCCCAGGCAACTAGAGTGCCACAGAGTAAAGCCACACCTCAGTCTCAGGGGTGCTTTTACAGATTTTGTGCCATAGAAGATTGCAGTTGTGTTTGGGCACATAGCTTTTCCAGTTGAAGTTTTTCATCAGAACCTTGAGTCTAGCCAGGCGCAGTAGCTCACACTTGTAATCCCAACACTTTGGGAGGCTGAGGCAGGCAGACCACTCGAGGTCAGGAGTTCAAGACCAGCTGGTCAACATGAAACCTCATTGCTACTAAAAATACAAAAATTAGCCAGGCATGGTGGTGTGGTGTGTTGGCACGTGCCTGTGATTCCCAGCTACTTGGGAGGCTGAAGTGTGAGAATCGCTTGAACCTCCAGGAGGTGGAGGTTGCAGTGAGTCTCAAAAAAAAAAAGACAGCACAGTGGCTCATGCCTGTAATCCTAGCACTCTGGGAGGCCAAGGCAGGTGGCTCACAAGGTCAGGAGTTCAAGACCGGTCTGGCCAACATGGTGAAACCCTGTTTCTACTAAAAATACAAAAATTAGCTGGGTGTGATGGCGCATGCCTATAATGCCAGCTACTCGGGATACTGGTGGGAGAATCTCTTGAACCACGTAGGTGAAGGTTGCAGTGAGCTGAGATGGAGCCTCTGCACTCACTCCTGGCTGGGCAACAGAGTGAGACTCTCAAAAAAAAAAAAAATACATATATAGAACCTAGAACCTTGAGTCATAGAACATTGAGTAGTGTCTTCATAGTTCCTGAGTAACTAAAATCATGAACATATGTACTACTAAGGTGACATGTTTAGGTAACAGTACTAAATTCATTTTATCTAAATTTCCTCTCCTTGACAATGTTTTTTGAGATGGAGTCTCGCTCTGTTATCCAGGCTGGAGTGCAGTGACACGGTCTCGGCTCACTGCAGCTGCGGCTTAAATGTCCTGCCTGGGTTTAAGTGATTCTCCTGCCTCAAGCTCTCAAGTAGCTGGGATTACAAGTATGCACCACCACGCACAGCTAATTTTTGTATTTTTAATAGAGACAGGGTTTTGCCATGTTGGTCAGGCTGGTCTCAAATTCCCCACCTCAAGTGATTCACATGCCTTGGTCTCCCAAAGTGCTAGGTTTACAGACATGAGCCACCATACCCAGCCAGCCAGTGTTTTCTATTCAATAAAACTTAGAACTCATTTGTTTTGTGACTTGAATTGGGTTTAAGTTCTTTTCAAGAGAATTTAGCAGGTAGACCTGCCTTCATTTTAGCCTACTCACAGATTAGACCTAACTAAATAGCAGACAGTTTTTAATGCATTTTTCTGTTTTTAAACATGTGATCTGGCTTCTAAGGAACATACTTCCACAGTGTTCTAAATATCAGTCATGAAAGACACTCACCTGCCCCACACTCACCTGGGTACTCTTACTTAGCAGGAGAACTGGAAGCCGTGGGAAGAATGCTGCATGTTCCCAGCCTTAGAAGAATCTACAGATCAGAGCTTATTCTCAGTGTTACTGGCTTTAGGCTGGTGCAGTTCTTCCAGTTCCCCACTCTTGAGTGCCTACTCGCAGGAATGAGCAGTTGCTTAGAGCCATGGGAGAGCCCTAGTTCCCAACAGTCCAGCTTTTGGGTCCTTTGTGCTCCACCCTGGTCTCAGGAGCATACCTCTGGAGTTGTTCCTCTCAAGACCATACTTGCTCATGCCAGGTGGGTACAGCAGCACAGCTCCTGCCGTTTGCCTTCAAAGCACTCAGCAGAAGGCAGACACGTAAACAATCACAGCTCAAGGTGGTAATTGTTATTTCATAGTTGTGAGCAGAGCACTACAGAAGTTCTGTCGTTTATGCACTAGTCACCTGCCCTTCATCTCACTCAGCTCAAATAGCTCTGAAAAGTTGTAGTCTCCTTATAAGCTTCCTGTGAGCCAGGGCTGAGTCATGTGTATGCCCATGCCCTGGACACAGGGAGTATGGGATTCTGACACGGGAAGTGGCTTCTGCCAGCAAAGAAGTCATAGACTGTTCCCACCCATGTCTATCCCACCTCAGCCAAGTATTCAAAAATCAGGTATGTAACTGAGGTTCATTCTTACTGGCTCTCAGTTTCCCAGCTTTATATATGCATAACAGATAAATAAGGGCCAGCACAGTGGCTCACCCCTTGGGAGGTCAAGGCAGGAGAATTGCTTTTACCCAGCAGTTCAAGACCAGCCTGGACAATATATATAACAAGACCCTATGTCTTTAAAAAATAATAAAAATAAAGTTTTTTTGTTTTGTTTTGTTTTTTAATTAATCAGGCATGGTGGCACGTACCTGTAATCCCATCTGTTCAGGAGACTAAGGTGGGAGATTCTTAAGCCCAGGAGTTTGAGGTTACAAGTGAACAGTGATTGCACTACTATACTCCAGACTGGGTGACATGGCGAGACCTTATCTCAAAATATGTATATGTATGTGTATCACCTGTAATTTAGCTTCCTAAAGTTTTTTTCTCTCCTTTAAACCTTGAGTTTTTTTCTCTCCTTTATATATATGTTATGTTTTGTTTTGTTTTGTTTTGTTTTGTTTTGTTTTGTTTTGTTTTGTTTTAAATAGAGACGGGGTTTCACAGTGTTGCCCAGACTGGCCTCAAACTCCTGAGCTCAAGTGATCTTCCTGCTTTAGCCTCTCAAAGTTCTGGGATTACAGGCATGCACTACCATGTCCAGCCTTTTCTCTCCATTTTGAACCTACAGGGATTACTATAACAAATAGAGCAGTCCTTTTCTAAATGCCAAGTACTAGGCACTATGTCAGTGTGCTTTATGTTTTGTCTGTCATGTTTTCTTATTTCAGTGAAGAAAAAATGACTGCTGCCCGCATTAGAAAATGCCACAAGTGTGGGACTGGCCTCATCAAATCTGAAGGCTGCAACCGCATGTCTTGCCGCTGTGGTGCCCAGATGTGCTACCTCTGTCGAGTTTCTATCAATGGATATGACCATTTCTGCCAGCATCCCCGCTCCCCAGGAGCCCCTTGCCAGGAGTGTTCACGATGCTCTCTCTGGACTGACCCCACTGTAAGTAGAGACATGGCTGCCTATTGCTTTATAAGGGAAAAATAGAAATACATTTTTATGACAAATATTTTGTATATACATAACAAAATTAGACTTAGGAGAAGGATATAGGAAATTACATAGACTGATAACCAAAGAAAAAACTTAAGAAAGGAATTATCAGCTACTTCTCATGCTGCTCAAAGCAGCATGCCCTAACAGTTTTATAGGCAAATTTCTTCTAATTCTTCAGGAAATAAAATTTTTCTATGCCCTCTGAAATATCCCAAAGTAAGGAAACTTACAAATTTATCTGTTCAAAGCCAGCATAATGCTGATTCCAAAGCCTGACAGATAGCCCTAACAAAGAAAACTGAGTCACTTATAATATAGATTTAAATTATCTAAGTAAAATATTAGCAAATAGAAAGCATGACCAAGTGAGGGTTCCAGAAATGCAATGATAGTTTAATATTAACAACTCTATTAACATGAATCATGATATCATATCTGTAGATGGTTTAAAGACATTTAAGAAATCAAATCAAATATTTGTTCTTGATTTAAGCTTTAAAAATACAATATTACAAAGGATATTTTAGACCCCGAATATCAAGACAGTTGTTAGCATTCATTTAGTAGTAAATAAAGTCAAGTATAACACTATCAATCAGCACTACTTTGTTCTGAAACTGCTAGTCAGTGTACTTAGCTAAGAGAATAAAATAAAAGATATAAGTAGATTCTGGAGACAGTCATAGCTATTGTTTATTGGGCACCTACCATGTGTCAGACACTGTTCTAAATACTTTATAAGTATTTTATATGTAAAGAAAGGCAAACTTGGCTGCGCATGGTGGCTCATGCCTGTAATCTCAACACTTTGGGAGGCCAAGGTGGGTGGATCACCTGATGTCAGGAGTTCAAGACCAGCCGAGACAACGTGGCAAAACCACGTCTCTACTAAAAGTACAGAAATTAGCCAGGCATGGTGGCACATGCCTGTAATCCTAGCTACTCGGGAGGCTGAGGTACGAGAATCGCTTGAACCAGGGAGGCAGAGGCCGCAGTGAGCCAAGATCGTGCCACTGCACTGCAACCTGGGCAACACAGCAAGACTCTGTCTCAGAAGAAAAAGAAAGGCCGAGCGTGGTGGCTCATGCCTATAATCCCAACACTTTGGGAAGCCGATGCAGGCAGATCACCTGATGTCAGGAGTTCCAAACCAGCCTGGCCAACATGACAAAACCTTGTCTCTACTAAAAATACAAAAAATTAGCCAGGTATAGTGGCATGGGCCTGTAATCCCAACTACTAGGGAGACTGAGACAGGAAGATTGCTTGAACCTGGGAGGCAGAGGTTGTAGTGAGCTCAGATTGTATTACTGTGCTCCAGCCTGGGCAACAGAGCAAGACACTGTCTCAAAAAAAAAAACAAAAAACGAAAGGCAAACTTACCACTTTAAACCTAGAAAAAAGACAAAATAATTTTGTTAGAAAGCTATTAGAAGCAATAGAAAGATGGCTAAATATAAAATAAGTATGTGGCTGGGCATGGTGGCTCACATCTATAACCCCAGCACTTTAGGAGGCTGAGATGGGTGGACCACCTAAGGTCAGGAGTTCAAAACCAGCCTGGCCAACATGGTGAAACCCCTTCTCTAGTAAAAGTGCAAAAATTGACCAGGCATGTTGGCATGCGCCTCTAATCCCTGCTACTCAGGCTGAGGCAGGAGAACCACTTGAGCCTGGGAAGCAGAGGTTGCAGTGAACCAAGACACATGATTGTACTGCAGCCGGGGCGACAAAGCAAGACTCTGTCTCATAAAATAAGGATCAATTCTTCTTAAAATTATTTTAAACTAAAAACAAGCACAGTCAGTTCTGAGCTGATCTGTAAGAATAACGATGTCCTTTTTGAGATGGAGTCTCTATTTGTCACCCAGGCCGGAGTCCAGTGGCATGATCTCGGCTCACTGCAACGTCTGCCTGCTGGGTTCAAATGAGTCCCAATTCTCCTGCCTTAACCTCCCGAGTAGCTGGGATTACAGATTACAGGCGCCTGCCACCACACCCAGATACATTTTGTATTTTTAGTAGAGAGAGGGTTTCACCATGTTGGCCAGGCTGGTCTCAAACTCCTGACCTCAGGTGATTCACCCCCTCGGCCCCCCAAAGTGCTGGGATTACAGGCGTGTGTCAGCGCACCTGGCCAGAATAATGATGTCATAATGCGACAAGACGTCTCTGCAAAAAGGTGATTGCATGTGACAGTGAGCTCCCTGCTGACTTGGAGCAAGTGCACCAAGACCACTAGGAGGCAGGCCTGGTGACAGGTGGCATTTCTCAGCTTTCATTGGAAAGAGTGAAGGAGGCCCGGGTAGTGGAGACACATGCCTGTCCTCTAAGGGAACAGTCAGCATTACAAAGAGATCACCTCTGTCCAAAGTCACCTAGAAGTTAATGCAACTCACATCTTAAATTCAGTAGGATTTTTTAAAACTGACTTATTTTGAAAATGAAACTACTTCTTACCATAAAGCCATTAATACACTAATCAAACCGTGTAGAGTAACACAATAATAGAAAAAAAAAAGAAAGAAAGAAAGAAAAGGCTGGGCACGGTGTCTGAAGCCTATAATGCCAGCATTTTGGGAGGCCAACATGGGTGGATCACCTGAGCTCAGGAGTTCAAGACCAGCCTGACCAATATGGTGAAACCCTGTCTCTACTAAAAGTACAAAAACTAGCCAGGCATGGTAGTTGCATGCCTGTAATCCCAGCTACTCGGGAGGCTGAGGCAGGAGAATTGCTTGAACCTGGGAGGCAAAGGTTGCAATGAACTGAGATCATGGTGCTGTACTCTAACCTATGCGTCAGTGTGAGACTCCGTCTCAATTTAAAAAAAGGGGGGGGGGCACACATGGTGGCTCAGGCCTGTAATCCCAGCACTTTGGGAGGTCAAGGAGGGCAGATAACTTGAAGCCAGGAGTTCAAGACCAGCCTGGTCAACACGACGAAATCTTATTTCTGCTGAAAATACAAAAAATTAGCTGGGCATGGTGCCAGGTGTCTGTATTCCCACCCACTCAGGAGGCTGAGGCAGAAGAATCGCTTGAACCTGGGAGGTGGAGGTTGCAGTAAGCCGAGATTACACCACTGCACTCCAGCCTGAGAGAGAGAGCGAGACTCCATCTCAGAAAAATTAAAAAAGCAGAAGTGTATTTTTTCTCCATCTCTTAAGTACAGAGGCAAACAGCTCAGGAATGGGCTAGCAGCTCTTATCTGGGATCCAGTTGCTTTCAGCATTCTGCTCTGCCACCCCTAGTGCATAGCCAAAGATCACATGCAGTCTTTGTCTGCAGTGGAGCTCTGGCTGATAAATCCACATTCCCAAGCAGCAGAGGAGCTGGAGTGGGGCTAAATAGCCTGCCTACCTATCTCTTAAGGAATGTTAGGCTTCCAGAAGCTGCCAAAGGTCGCTTCTGCTTCAGTCCTGTCAGCCAGAACTTAATGACCTGCCTCCTCAACTGCAAGCGAGACAGGAAGGAGTAGCCATCACAGGCCCAGCTAGGATGTCTGCGGAGGAAGGTGTTATACTGAGGAGTCTCCCTATGTTGTGTTCACCTCAACTAAAATTTGGACAGAGGAAGTTTTTTAAAAAAGAAGTATAAGTAGGGAGGAAAGCTGCTTGCTGGACAGGTGCAGTGGCTCACCTCTGTAATCCCAGTGCTTGGGGAGGCCAAGGAAGGAGCATCACTTGGGTCCAGGAGTTTAGGAACAGCCTGGGCAACATAGTGAGACCTCCATCTTTACAAAATATCAAAAATTAGCCGGATGTGGTGGTGCTCAACCATAGTCATGGCTGCTCTGGAGGCTGAGGCAGGAGGATCATTTGAGCCTGGGAGGTCGATGCTGCAGTGAGCTATGTTCATGCCACTGCACTGCAGCCTGGGTGACAGAGCAAGACTGTCTCCAAAAAAAAAAAAAACTGCTTGCTTTTCTACCTGGCCACAACCTGGTAGAGCTGGCTAACAGCCACCCCTAATAAACAAATAGAAATGAAAATAGCACCTAGCTGGTGGTAGGTAATTTTCAGATTCGCTGGTATCTCCCACACTGTAATTGGGCATAGTGGGCAGTTACAGTGTACAAATCAGAAGATTTAGTGTCTATCTTTGATCTGGGAGTTCCACTTAATTAGAAAAGGTTATCCTCAGGAGACAGTTGGACAAGTTCACAAAGTTCTATCTGCAACACTGTTCACTGAGTTATTTAAAGTAGTATAAATTTAGAAACCCCATTTAAATGTCCCAAAAAATAGGAGATATGTCAAGTTTTATATATGCGTACATTAGAATAGTACAAAAATAATTATATATCTGTACTTTAAAACATGGAGGAAAAGGAACATGGGAAGATTTTCACATTGGAAACAAACAGCATGGATTGCTTGGGTCACAGACCCAAGTTACCACAGAGGCAGGTGGTAGCAAACATTATGTCTGGATGGAGCACATTCAGTCTAGGAGGCAGGAAGGCATGATGGGGACTGTGGCACAGGAGAGGGTATGGGGCCCAACCAAGTGGCTGCTGCTCATCCGCTGCAGGTTGCTGCTGGGAGGACCTCCCAGCTACTCAGGACGCTGAGGCACAAGAATTGATTCAACCTGGGAGCCAGAGATTGCATTAAGCCAAGATTGCGCCACTGCACTGCAGCCGGGCAACAGAGCGAGACTTGATCTCAGAGAAAGAAAAAGAAATTTGTAATTGGGCTGGGCACAGTGGCTCATACCTGTAATCCCAGCATTTTAGGAGCCCAAGGTAGGCAGATCTCTTGAGCTTAGGAGTTCAAGACCAGCCTGGGAAACATGGCAAAACTCTACCTCTACAAAAAATACAAAAGTTATCCAGGGGTGGTGGTGCATACCTGTGGTCCCAGTTACTCTCAGGTCTGAAGTGAGAGGATTGCTTGAGCCCGGGAGGTTGGGGATGCAGTGAGCCCTGGTTGAGCCACTACT